CGACTGATTTTCAAAGCCTCGGCATCCATTCTGTGTTTGCTTTCCACTTGCTCTCCGGCTGCTCTTTCATCATCCACCCGTCATCTGAAAAGCATCTTAAATGATTATGTTTTAGCGTCTTCCATTTTTTTTTGCTCTCAACACTTAATCTTGCCTTCATGTTCACGCTGAGTTTGGCTTGACGGTACAAAGGTGAATCATGAAAGCCTTTTTTTGTTTCAGATTTGTGTCATTTTCATTGCGTAAGCTGCACCACTCTTGTCGAGGGTCCCGATATGTAACGCAACATGATTTCTGCTGTTTCTCTTCTCTCTGGCTTCTCTTGAAGTGAAGAGACGTGCAGAGTGGAAAGACAGGGATTTGACTCAGGGGAGTTTGCGCCAAAAAAAATTTGTATTAAGTGCAATTAGAGCAGTGGTTAAGTATTCTCCTCTGCCTATTAATCCTCAACAAATAATACGCATGGTTGCATGAAACATATTGGCAAATTTCTTAAAGTGAGATTAATTTGACAGGCAAGAAGCTGAGTGGGCCTTTATGGAACTGGTTATCTTTCCTTAGCACATTGGACTAAGCTCTCCAAGCCCAGTGGTATGAAGGGTATGTGAGTGTGGAAGGAGTGTGATGCAATGTAGGTCATGTGGATGGTGTGAACATCACACACTTTTTAGATTGATTTTCTTGATTGTGTGCAAAAACTTGGCCAGGAAGAAAAATACTGAAGCTGTTTGTTTACCAAGTCACCACCTCTCTCGTGAATAAAGAAACCATGCAGAGAATTTGAAGTATAAGATCGTTTAAACATGCTAGGTCTTTTAAGTGTCTATTCTCGTCCAAACCAAACCTTCTGTCCCTGTGTTGTTAGCTCTCTGTCAGGCCGCATCGTCGGAGGCGTGTGGTGGTTCTTCACCCTAATCATCATCTCGTCCTATACTGCCAACTTGGCCGCCTTCCTGACAGTGGAAAGGATGGTGTCTCCTATAGAGAGCGCAGAGGATTTGGCCAAGCAGACGGAGATCGCCTATGGAACGCTGGATGCCGGATCCACCAAAGAATTCTTCAGGGTGAGAGGAAAAATACAGACTTAAACATTAATCAAAACATTTTGCATGTTCCGTGCTCAAAATTACAAACTGCAATGTTGCATCAGATATGTGCATAAATTACTGTGATTCCCTCGTAATAGACTGTATTTGTATAACACGTTTTGAGTCTTATCAACCACTCATAGCCCTATGGCTGGGCAATAAGTAATGATCCCAATGTAATTGTAATCAGTAGCACTATAACAAAGGTTTTTGATATATTGACCATAACTACAAACAAAAATGGGCTTTTATTTAATAAAGAATAAGGAATATTATTATTATTATATTCACTCTGATGCTGCTTCTTTCTCTGTCTTCCTGTCTCACTGGTCTCCACTTGTGGTTTTCAGAGGTCTAAGATCGCCGTGTTTGAGAAGATGTGGTCCTATATGAAGGCGGCTGACCCGTCTGTGTTCGTCAAGACCACGGACGAGGGCGTGATGAGGGTCAGGAAGTCCAAGGGCAAGTACGCCTACCTGCTGGAGTCCACAATGAATGAGTACATAGAGCAGAGGAAGCCGTGCGACACCATGAAGGTGGGAGGGAACCTGGATTCTAAAGGTTACGGCATCGCCACGCCGAAGGGCTCTCCTCTCAGGTAACTACGCCCCAGCCACCGCAGCGTGGATGGAGGCCATCCAGCTCACGCATGAGCGTCATCCCTTCATTTGTTCATAGAGCTCACTTCTTGTTGCATTTGCTCATGTATGAACACATACATGAGCTTGGATTGATTAGTTGCACCTTTATGTAACATTTCATGCATTTTGATTTATTCATGCTTCGTTTTTTATCTTATAACATGTCCATATTACAATTTCGATACATAATATAGACTGCATGCTTTTACTTTGACAACACTGCATCCAACTTTTTTCTGCTTTTGTTTTTAGTTTGCACTCATCACACAGACATTGACATCGTCTTCTAGTCCATTTGCACCTTTAAAGATCATCTATGTTTGTTTCTGCACATGTATGTATGCACCCAAGCCTGTTCAAAGCTGACTTTTGAGCACTGGCAGAAGTGGGAAGTAGGACTGAGGGATGTCCCTCTCTTATTTTATCTTGCTCTCAAATTATAGTCTTCTTCACTAGTCTTCTGTAAACCTGTAGTATCACCTAAAGACACACACAAAATGTTAATGTATGTGTCAGAGGCTCTGTTCAGACCTGGTATCAAAATGCATCCTGAATGTGTCTCCTGTGACCAGTTGTGATCAGATCTCACTTCCCTGCTCTATATGCAAATAATCCCGTCATGTCATTTATGTTTGGGAAGACCAAATTGCTGTTTTTGCCCAGTCTGAGTTTAAAGATTTATCCCGATGTGTATGCCATGTGTTACGATGTCTGTAGGAGCAAGAGAGAGAGAGAGAGAGAGAGGGGTCAGGAGAGGCTGAATGGATGCAGCTCTGCTATGAAGAAAGAATTGACCAATTTAAGAAAAGAAAAGTACCAAAATGTGCTTCATAGTGAAACTTTCGCAGGTCACAGGACGTCCACTGAGTAAACGGTCCTTCATATGTGGCCCAGGATGCATTTGTGTTCACTCAGCGAAAAGAATGTGTCCACACCACCAGGTCTGAAGGGGTCATTGACTAGCAGGGCCCCAGAAGCAGGAATCACAGCTGTGTATGACTGCATCTCATATGGCTACTTTCCCACTTAGGCCGGGGCTCACACCTTGAATGTGAAGTCAGCTGAGTTGAATTAATATTTGCAATGTGATAATTGCTGTAATGAATGATAATTCATACTTGATACACTTCTACCGCCGATGTCCAAGAGCAGCAGCTGTCATTTCACATTACATTACAACACCTTAACCAACGTCCCATTCGGATTTCTCCTGCTCTGACAGAGAGAGAGAGAGAGAGTACACAGACGCTGGTGGCATCTGAAGCTTTTAATCTGTCTCTAATAGGCCTCATTCATTTTAATGAAAGGAGCCATATGGGGAGGTTTCACTCAGAGTCGCTGAGGATTCATTCGGGGTTCCACCTTGGTTGACAGCCAAAGGTCAGAACAGCAAGAACGAGAAATGTTTCCCATGTTTACGCAGGGGCTCCTTATAAAATTCCTACAAATTGGATTTCATGCAGCGAGTTAAATGCTGTATTAGTAATGAGACAAGTAAAATGAATCTGCTCCCAGGTCAGATTGGTCTAAACCTACAATGTACCAATGGGATGCAGTGTTTAAATGCTGAGGATGTCCCTCTCGTCTGCCTCTTTCTGTTATATTATTCAAGACGTGTTGTTGTTAGGCTGCAACTTGGTCCATTCACAGATGTCTGATACTGAGTTTCATTGACAGATGAGTAATATTTAGGATATTTGTTGTTAAAGGATGAAAACATGATTAATTCAAATGTTTTTACTGTTGAAGTAGAATTTGCAGTTGTCCTGCTCACCCAGAATCAGACATGAGTGAATGTGCAGTGAATTCAAAGAGTTGGGTTCAGTTATACCTGCAATGCATCATTCATACATCAAAGTGCTGCATATAAGAGAAGCACCAATCTGACTGTTTCTCTCCAGATGCTCATGCATGTAAACTCGTTGTATCTGCATCAGTCAGATACCACTTCTCTCTATTCCAGATATTTGTAATCTTTCTTCATTCCACATGAAAATCATTTGCATGATCATCCCTCATTGGGATGATTTGTATGACAATTTACAAGTTAACTGTACTTTAACAAAAGATACACTTATCACATCAGTTTTTGGTAATTAATTCATAATTCACAAGTGCACAGTAACCAGGGGTAGAAAGTAAAGTATATTCACTCAGGTACTGCTCTTAAGTGTAAAATATGAGGTGCTTGTTCTTGATTTTTTTTTTTTTTTAAGGCCACTTTTTCTTCATGACATTCCAAAGGCAAAATCTGTCTTTATTATTTGATTATCTAACAGCACTTCCACGGATTACGAATTATACATACAAAATATGTGGAGAACTCGTAAATATGATGGTTTGTGGCAAATTAAAACTATTGTACCTGAAATGATTTGTTGATTAATCAATTAGCTGACTGAATATATTCCTAATTTGATAATTAAGTCATTTTAGAAAAAAAAAGTCAAATATTTCATGGTTCTTATTTATGTGTGATAAGTAATTGCTTTTGCTTTGAATTATTTCAGTAAATTTGGGTTATTTTAAATGATTGAGGTTTTGACTATTTTTTGAAAAACTACAATAGTAAAATGCTGCTTGGACATTAATGATAATCTAATGATAGAATATTAACCATCAGTTTTCTTCACTGAGTTCTTAAGTACTACTTACTTTTGATACTAAAATAATTTTTGTACTTTTACGCATACTTTTACTTGAGTAACATTTTCAGTGCAGTACCTTTACATCAGTAAAATATCTGGCTACTTTAATAGTAATATAACACATACATTTAGTTCACAGCAACATTTGAATGGAGCACAGATCTGCCACTTGACACTGATCCCAAAGATCTGAGCGTCCTACTGAATATATTTAAATATTTACATTTTATTTATTCTTTTGCAGTGCTGGTCTAACTGAAATTAGTGCTTTGAAAACAAAGATACTCAAATGAGATAACTTTTCATTTTACAGGACTTTCTTCAAAGAACTCTTCATCTATCCACCCCCATACCTGCCTGACTGTTTCCCCCCATTCCACCTAACATACAGTAGCCTCTCTGACATCTGTGACATCTGCTCGCCTCAAACCAACTGACCAAACTAACCAGTGACCTGCAGGTCTCCAGATCATTCACGTCCACACACTTTGACTTCTTTCTTTCCGTCTGAGCCCACTGGGCCACGAAAGAATTCAGAGGTTTTACCAGCTCTGAGGATACTTGTGTTCCCTACAGCTGTGTCGTGCACTCAAGGTTTGGGAGATAAAGACTCTCCTCCACTCATCTGATGGTGAGAAAGGCAGAATGTCACCTAAATAAAATGTTGCTGCACAGACTGACTGATTTGAGGGCACAGATCTGGCAAAGGCTGTAATCTTTACTTCTTTTATGCAAATTGTGATTGCACATTCTGCCTTTCTGTGATTTGTGAATGGAGAGAGTCTTTGTTCCTGGACTGTCAACTAAAGGAAATGCACACACACGCTCACCAGAGAGAGAGAGAGCAGCGTTTGAGGAGATGCTTTGGATGAGGAGGTTTGGGCGGTTTCAAGACGTCACCTGTAGCTGGTCACACAGTTTCCTTTCAGCCAGATAGAGGCATAACTCTGGTGTTAAAGTGAAACATTTAAGGCCTCATTCTCATTTGTCTTTCCTGATAGTTCTAAATTAATCAACGGGGGCTTCCACATGTACCAGGATGCTGTGCGTGGTTGAATATTGATAGGTTAGTTACCATGGCAATCTGTATGCTAGTGCCACTGAAAGGAAATTACCATCTGTGGACAGAATTCAGTATCCAAATCATCTCCATCCACAGTGTCTGCTCTGTCTTCCTCTGAGGCCCCTGCTTGGTAAAACCTGACTCTACTACTGTATGGGTCCTCAGCATTTCAGCCCCAACTAACATATATGCATCTGAAGCCAGTACTCCTGCTTCATATCAGTAGTTACATGCAGGAGAGTCTTGAATAGTCAATTCAGTGTTGCCATAATCACCACCACCATGCGACCAATCTTCTTTTATATCTGTCCCATAGAGTGTCTCCTAATGGTTATTGTTTGATATCATTTTCAAGAAACCCAGTAAACCTGGCAGTGTTAAAACTGAACGAGCAGGGCCTCTTGGACAAATTGAAAAACAAGTGGTGGTACGACAAGGGCGAGTGCGGCAGCGGGGGCGGGGACTCCAAGGTCAGAGCCAGTTTGATAAACCCTGCGGGTAACCCGCCACCACTGGGAGTGGAGGCGGGGACTGTGGGGAGACGGGGTAACCGGCAGGCCCACGCTGCGCTTACACTCAGGCGACACTGACCTCTCTGTGGCGTGGGAAAAATCAGAGGAGCTGTAGTGAGTGTGGGGATGTGGTGGCTGAATTTGAAATCCACAGAGAGGAAACTTTTGTATCATCTCATTTGCAGAAACAAAAGGAACAAGTATGTCAAATGTATCAGAATCTAGAATTAAACTAGCTGGGTCCCCCATGCTCAGTGATATATATACCACCACATCACATTTAGTGGCTTTGGATTTTTTCAGGTTAAATGAACAATTGTGGCTAATTTCCCCACCAAAAGATTGTTGAAATCATTGACACTACCATGTTGCGAGGATAAGCAGTGTGCCGGTTACCCAAAGTGATATAGTAATACACATCTACTGCCCTAGGGAGCAAGCCAACAAAGCTAGATGGAGTATTAATGCATATCACTTTAACTCTGTTGTTTCTAATGATTTTTATGCTTTATATATGTGTACGTGTGCGTGTGTGCGTATGTATTGTGTGTGTGTGATACGTTTTTTTTAATATCTATAAGCAAGCTCAAAGCATTAACGTGTGTATGTATTTGCTGCTCTATGTTTCTGAATTAATAACATAAAATAACATGGTATAATATGTTATTTATGTTATTTCCTTATGGTTGGAAGAATCCCAGTAAACCTAGCGGTGTTGAAACTCAATGAGCAAGCCGTCTTAGACAAACTGAAAAACAAATGGTGGTACGATAAAGGGGAGTGTGGCAGCAAGGACTCCGCAAGAAAGGTTAGTCTCCAACCCAAACCTGTCACCTCACAGCACCTCCTATAGCACAACCCTGCCCTGGTCCTAGAATAGCCCAAAGTCCTGCCCCCAGCCTCCATCACACTGAGCAATGCTTCCCATGTGACTATGAGATCACCACCATATTGGCACAAATATAAGACAACCCCACATTCTGTAATATAAATTATTTTAAAAATTTAAGATTTTAAAATATATAACTGAAAGTGCAGTAAATCACTGTAAAGAAAATAATTAACATAATTGCGACATTCAAGTTATGCTTGAGTACATAAAATACAGTTTTGGAAGCACAATCCATTTTTTATTTACTGAAACAAATAGTTTGACTTTAGTTTTAATTGTGAATTAACATTTTAAATTCCAATAATCAACTTGAAACAACCTCAGTCTCTGCTATTGTCACTACTGATACTGTCAATGCTTTGACTTTTATTTCTAGTCTCTTACTACTGCTGTTAGTATTATTAATATTAGCTACCGCTCCTATAAATACTACAACATCTACCACTGCTGCTGAAAATGAATGGTGTATCATCATGGTATCACCAGTAAGCCCATTTTATCACCACTGTAAGGTATTGTTTAATTTGTGTTTTTTCCCATTTTAAGCAGCGTCTTCTTTGGCTTTCCAATAAGCTAATTGACACCACTGACTGTCCAATCCTTTTCTGCTGTAAGATTCAAGGGATAGTTCATCCAAATATATAAATTCACTCATTATCTGCTCACCACTATGCCGCTGGAGCGGTGGGTGAAGTGTTTGAGTCCATAAAACACCTCTGGAGTTTCAGGAGTAAACAGCATTGCAGTCAAATCCAATACAAATGAGGTTAATTGTGACCACTAATTCAAACGTACTACTGCTCCTGTGGCAGGACTTGAAACGGCATAATTTACACTATGTTTTTAGCCTTAATGTTGTCCTCCTCCGTGTTACTGCTGCGGCTTTTGCAAGTTCTTACAATACTCTCCACAGGAGCAGTATGGAGGCATTTTACAATTTTATTTTCTGTTTGTTAACGTTTGAAGAAGTGGTCACCATTAAGTTCAATTGTGTTAGATTTGGCTGCAACACTGTTTACCCCTGAAATTCCTGAAGTGTTTTGTGGACTCAAACACTTCCCCCACCCCTCCATCTGCATAGTGGTGAGTAGATAATGAGTGCATTTTTATATTGGGTAATCTATCCATTAAACATTAGCCAAAAAACATAGTCACAGTAGTCCCGCAGTTTAAGTTTGACGGCTTTCCCTATGAACATTAGTTACCAAAAGCAAGTGGTAATACCAAAGTCAAGAAAAAGGCCCATCAATATTGCACTGAACAAAATTAAATTTTCTTGACAAAAATGTTACAAATTTTATTATTAAAAAACAAAAACTAATGTTTGGGGTTGATCAGTGCAGATATGAAAACATAGCTTGCTCAGCAACCCTAAAACAAGCTAGCTTCATGCAGCTGAGTCTTGAAGTAACAGTTCTGTAGAACACAGTATTAAAAGAGAATATCTTCTTTTGTAAAACCTTAAAAATGTTGTCCTCTTTTGCAGCGACTCTAACGGTTACAAATGTACTTTCCAAAACGTCTTCTTATATTTGGGCCAGTATTCTGGTGGTTCTCAAGTGTCTATTTCTTCTCACTGATGAGCTTGTGTTGTCAGAGATTTAATGTTCGATACCAGAGTGTATATAAATATTGTGTGTTGACTTAAACTGTTATTCAAGCTATTATACAGATAGAGAGCACATTTACCATATAGGTAGAATAAATCCTCTCAAGATAAATTATCCAACCGCCCCCACGACACAGATGCATACACACAGATCAAGCGTTACGATGACCTTGAGTTGTACTGTAGATTAAATATAAATCACTCTGAAAGCAATTTGTCAGAATAAATCTCCTTCCTATGGAGAAAAAATAAGGAAAAGAAAAATGGGAGGACGCAGGGTGAGACAGATGACATAAAGCCATTGGACTTAACTGAACCCATGGACCATATTGAGCAGTGACCTTTGCTCTCTGGCTCTTGGAAAAATTCTTCCCCAATTCTTACTGAAGAGTGTGCATGTATGGATGCCACCCTTGTCAGTCTGCTACATTGACCCCCCAAGTCAAACACAGTCTGCTACTGTGCTTGCATGCATTAGTGGTTGATCCACTGTCTCATGAAGCAGTTCCCCCGACAGAAAAGCTCTTGCTCTTTGGCTCAGCTCCCTCTGCATGTGTTTGTAATGTCAGCTGGCCTTCTGATCTGTCAGCACATTTCCTTAGCCCTGCTCATATATTTATATAGTTTTAGTGCAGGACTGTCAAACTGTGTGCTATGAAGGGCTTGGTCCCAGGAGAAAATATGACAAATAATCGGAGGATGACTTTTTGAAATCTAAACACAGCTAAAGGCTCATAGAAAAGCCTTATGTGATTTAAGAATTATCAGAATATATTTTCAGCGGTCAAGAAGATACATGTTACATACTGTACATCTTTATTTAAAGCAACACTGTGACACGTTTTACATAAAATAGCAGCTTCAGAATGAGTTTGTGTTTCACGGTCTTGGAACAGGGAGAATGGAATTGCTTTCATTCCCACTCCTCACGATCTCCTGTTATAAGTGCTTAACTGACTGTTGCAGCATAAAAATGCATAAATAAATCAGAATCCATCCAGCAAGTTCAAGAATCATGCTGAGCTGTAGATCATTTAAAAAGACTCAGAAGTCATTAAAACCATCTTTTATCTACTCAGCAAGGAAACTTTTAAAATATGAAATATTTTGAACAACGTTACGTGTATTTGTTACATTCAAAACTCTTATGGTTTAGGAAGCCAGGGATCCATGAGGAATATCCACCATTCTATTCTATGTTGGAGTTTAACAGAACTAATCACCAAATATGGCTGCAGAGGGCGCTGCTACTCATTTAAAGTTACATAGTGTTGCTTTAAGGCGGTTTGCTTAAATTTCAAATCCCTGTCTAATAATTTTTTATAATAGTCTAAAAGTTTGGCAACATATTGTTGCAGAGAGTCTGATGAGAATATTGATACTCACATAGACATTATGTGCTAGCAATGTAGCTACAGCTAGTTAGATTTGCTTTGTATAAACAGGGTAGCAGCTAGCTAGGTCCAGTGGCATTGAAATCCATCTGTTTTATTTGTATTTATACATATTTTGGAGGCTTTGTACAGCTCCAGGTGATGAATATAAATTCAAGCTCGGATGAAGAATAGTCTTTGAAAATCTCTACAGACTCCCCAGTGATAGCACACAGTTTGACACGAATACATGCCCTAGTATAAAAATATGATTTATGTCACATAATCTAACTTCATATAACAGCAACCTAAAGACTGACTAAATGTGTTCCAATTCAGATCTATAGGACACATGACAGCCTGAATTTAAGTGGTAGCTAGAGATCACTTGGGTCACTTTGTTACCTGCAAGCTCAAATCCATATCAAAGCATAATAAAGTGTAACCATCTTAACAAAATGCCTTTTCATGTGCCATTGATCTCCTCAATTGACTCAAAGGTTTTCCCTAAATGGATTTACAGGAAATAACATTCCCATTAGTTCTTATTGCTCCATGAACGCTAGTTAGGTTGACTGATTTAAATCCTAATCTTAATGATTCCACTTCATTACAATTCTATAATTAGGTCTGAGCCATTGCAAATAGAGAATAATGAGCTATAAAATGAAGGAAAGTCAAACTGAAGACTTGTTTGTGCTGTAGCTGCATGAATGCATGGGGTATTAATGCACTTTCCTACCTGTTCCCTCACAAAATGCAATAATTAGACAGCAATTTTGTGTATCAGCATTTGTGTAAAATGTTCAGAAATGTATAAGTAAGTTTAAAAAAAATTCTAGATCAAATTTTTTATATATCTATAGGGCCTGTCTCACAAAGCAACATCTCTTGGAATTAGCATCCTGTTTTACTAATCTTACTCTGCTGATTCTGGACAATGTCTCAGAAAGCTGGTGACCACACAGCTTAAAACACATGTACATGAAAACATGTTGTGTTTCTTCTTACAGGATGAATAAATATGAGTGGTAAAAAACAGAAAATCAAAATGTTTCCCAGTGTTGTGGCTCACCGCAGGAGTCTGCTTTCTTATATTAAAATTGACTTAATGATGGCCTGTGACCAAGATGTAACTTGGATAAATCAGCAGGAGCTAATTTTCATCGTCTTTTCTTTTAAATTAAAAAAGGCTGATTTCTCCTCTTCATTAAGGCGCAATCAGAATGCCTCTTATTTATGTGACAGTGTCATCAAGGAAGTCGACTCATATTCTCGGTTTCTGCTGTGATGGAAAATGAGTCCAACAGTCTACGTTCAATCAGAAAGAACGTCAGTGCAGTAATATTAATATGCAGCAGCAGACTCAACTCTATTCATGGGTTTTCTAACCCCCCACTGTACTGGCTGTTCTGTGAGAAGTTTTTTTTTGCCAGAAAGGTAGATAGCTAGCTGTACTGCAAATTATTAATGAGCGTTTTTTATCCATTCCCATGGTGACATGTATCAAAAGATGAGCGGATATTCCCAGTATTCATGTTAAATGATGTTTTGACCTATAATTAGGCCCTGCAGTGGGTATTGGGCCATATCATCATACATTTAATGAGCCCTCTGACAGATGACACCATTTTCTATCTCTGCTTTAACATACTGTCAAAATTACTTTGAGTCCATTTACATCGTTCTCTATTACCTGCTGTTGTGCCGACGACGATACGTGACAGTTTAAGTCTTTAATATACGTCTGATATAAAGATAACAAATTGTAGAGTACAACTAGAAAACAAATGTTAAAGATACAGAAAGAAGAGCATAAATAATAATGCTCATATTAGAAATAACAGAACAACAAAAATAAATAGAATGTCTTCCAAAAAAGAGTATTTCAGACAGCCTTATTTCCTCAGACAATTCATTCCACAGCCCTGATGGCAAATGCGCTGTCCCCCCTAGTTGTCAGCCTAGATTCAGATGTGACAGTAAACTCCCACCCAAAGATTGCAAACTGCAAAGAAGTAAATAAGGAATTACAAGATCAGAGTTATAGCTTCTGGCTATAGGCTTTAAAGTTATCGGAAACATTTTTGAATCAGTACAAAAACAAACTGGGAATCAATGTTAAAAACCATAAAACAGGTGTGATGTGATCATATCTCTTGGTTCTAGTTAATAACCTAATAAATTATAATAAAACAAAGAGATGTCACCAGTTCATATAAAAAGTTCTATAGGCTGTGACTGTAGTGTTTTTGTCTAGTTTGGATCCTGTTGGATTGTTGACTCATTTTCTCCTCACAGTTAATATGTTTTCACCCATAGGCCTGATTATCTACATTATAAATTCATTTTTTTAAACTCTACCTTTGTTAGTGAGATTAAAGGTGTGAGTGATTTTCATTATTAAAGTTGTCCAGGTAATACTATAAACTGAACTTTGTGAGACAGGCCTTTAACCTGTGTTTTTATTGTTAATGTGTTGTTTTGTGTTTTATGTTTGTCTTGTTTTCCAGTCATATACTTTACATGTACAGTGTGTGTGTGTGTGTGTGTGTGTGTGTGTGTGTGTGTGTGTGTGTGTGTGTGTGTGTAAGGTTAATGTCTGTCTGTAAGTATGTGTGTGTGTATCTGTCAAGTCTTTGGTGTCACTCCACCTCACTACGGCTTCTCAACACTCTGCTCCGCTCTTTCTTCCCCACCCCCACAGGACAAGACGAGCGCTCTGAGCCTCAGCAACGTGGCGGGGGTCTTCTACATCCTGATCGGCGGCCTGGGCCTGGCTATGCTGGTGGCGCTTGTGGAGTTCTGCTACAAGTCCAGGACCGAGTCGCGCCGAATGAAGGTGTCAACTGCGCGGGCCGCTGCCGCCTCAGCCGCTCAGGCCTTTCACTGCTCAGCCTTAGACAGTGGTGCTAGCGCCCCCTACACTGAGCTGCAGAGCTACGGCCTGTACGCGAACAACACTGTTAAGATATAAGAGCAGAGCACAGCCATGGGGTAGGAAACGCTGTGATCAAGCCATGATGATGATGATGATGATGATGACATCTGCCTCTTCACATCCCCGCCCATCTAACCTGTGATCACAGTAGGGCCTTTCAAGGCTTCCACCGCAGTGCAAACGCTCTCCTGTACCTCTTTCTACCTCTGCCGCTCCCTTGCTCAGTCTTTATGTCACTGACCTGCAGTGTTGTCGAATCACTCAATTCTAAATTGCCCTTATGCCAGTTTTTTCTTCATGTTCTTAAACTAAATATTGTTTTCCTGTTTTTTGTATCACAAGATTGTTAAAATAAACCATTTTCCTTAGTAAATATTTTAAGTTACATTTGGGGGTCATGAAAGAAGACTATAATATCTCATCAAATTATCTCAATATGCAATTTTTTTTGTTGGACAATCATAAGGAAATTATCTCAACTTTGTCTAACCCAGAACACATTACACTTTTCTATTTAATTTAACCAAAATGTTCACCTCACGCCTCTAGTTAAATCATATTTTTAATAATCTTGTAGCTCACATTCCCAAGTGAGGAAATTTTACTGTTCATCATGGGTATAAAGGCAATTTGAATCGCAGTGGTATCATCAATCTACTTCTGTCGCTGTGAGCAAACCTCTCCGCTGCTCCTTCCCCTCTTTTTGCTGACTGTCTTGCAAACGCAGGGCCCATTGTGGTGAACATCCTTTATATGTATACCATAAGGCAGGCCTGCTGCGGCTCACATGTGTCCCATCACCGCTTTATAACCCAGAATAGTCTTAACGAAAAATGTTTGTATGTCAGAAATCTCAAAATAACCTGTAGTGAAATACTTTTATTTGGAGACATGAAGTTTCTGGTCCAGCAGCTGCGATATGCTGTTCTCTGTCTCGTGGATCAATTTACAACAAATACAATTTGATTCATTCATCCAACATCAGAGCCACTCAATTTACTCTTCATGTAAACAGCAATAAAACGCAAGGCAGGGCCAAGACGAGGAGTGATCTTCTACACCAGTATGTTTTAATCAGCCCACGGAGATGCACCTGATCAGTATGCTGATGAGATTGGCGAGGAGATAATTAGTCCAGAGGTGCCTTTATGCTGTTTGGCTTGAAAGAAACAACAACGTTGTTCCAATTAGAGGGCGGCGTGATTCTAAGATCCGCCTGCAGTGCTCCACTCCCCGGTTGCTCCAGGTTGCACTTGTTTTGCCCAATTTATTCAGCTATTGAATGAGGGAGGTAGGCATACAAGTGTGCTTGCGTACACACACATACATACATCACACATCATTAAGTTGGCTTTCAGGCTCAGTGGCTTTTATTGTTGCCAAACTAGAGAACGGACCTATTAAACCAATGAGTGAAGGCTCGGCTGCAGTCTTACCGCCCACACGTCGCTCTGCTCCAACCTGTTGCAAATTAGTTGATGCACAAAGGCCAGCATTTAATTTCACTCAAGCCCAGATAAAGATGGTGAAAACTAGCACCCTATGACTTCTATCACACCATTTTGCCTCTGAATCTTCCTGGTGTGCCAGCACCACATCCAGATAGGGACTCAACACCTGCTGATGTGCATGTATTCATAGAATAAAGAGCAGGAAATTGCATAATATTCTGCAGAGTTATCTTTATTGTTGTATAGCTGAAAATGCTGCTAATTCTGTTACATAAGTCGTCTCGTTTGTGATTAAGATTCCTCTAATGCATGTGGTTGAGATACATAGAAATCAGGCATGTAGACTAACTCTTACCTGTTTGTCTTCGCAGCAATCCATCAACGACGCCATGCGCTGCTCCACCCTGACCAGGATGAGTGGCAACGGGAGCGGGGGCGAGAACGGGCGAATCCTCACCCACGACTTCCCCAAAACCGTTCAGACTCTGCCCTGCATGAGCCACACCGCCAGCATGGGTCTGGGTGCCTCCGGCATGTGATCATCACATGACTGTGCTGGCGGCGAGGAACGGGCAGGGTGGGGTAAAAGAAGAGCACAAGACTCTTTAAGGACCTCAAAAATCATGGCTGTCCACTTTGACCCATCTATTCTCCCGGCTGTCGACTTGCTCTGACTCTTTAAAGACTTAACTTTACTGCCAAAATGCACTGTCGAACCACTCCTTACGAACTACGAACAGAACAGAGACTTGATTTTTTTGTTTTTTAAGAGTTGAAAAAGAGGTTCTAAAAGAAAAAGAAAGGAAATGTTCTGCAATAAAGATGAGGGGCGTGTTTTTGAATTTTTTACAGTGTTCCTTTACTGTGTGTGAAAAAAAAGAACTTTATTCTTCAGTGTGACGCCTGCGTTGTGCCATTTCAATGGAGCTGTTGACGTTAGACTGCGTGTGCAATATCCTCACCTTCACCGCTGACCTTGTACTACCTAGATGCTTTGCGACGGCTAATGGAACATGTCTTTGCACAGATGTTGGCGGAGGAGGACAAACGCTTGTGACTGCTGCCATGATTTGATATTGTTTTTTGGGACTTACGCTCTCTCTCTCACTCTCACATTTATGCGCTATGTTTTGGAAGGACAGAGTGCTCTGTGTAGCAAAGCCAGTATTCAGATATATATTGTATGGTTTACACTGTTGAAATAGTGCTTTGTCTGTAGTTTGATTTGACTACTCCTCGACTGAAGGTTGATGCCGTTTGACCAGGCTACGACAAACATGCATTGCTGCTACACCTCATCTAACACATCATGCCTTGTCTTTGTGCCATATGACCATTCTCACAGATGAACACAGATACACTTTACACTTGTTGCTGCTTAGTCATTATTTTGACCTGCAGATAGAGTTTTAGTATATCATGATCGCAGAGCTCAGATTCAGAGACTCTGATCTTTGTGAGACAGATAAGAGAAAACACACATTACTCTGTGGTTCTGTACAGTACTGAGTGACCTTACACTGTATTCTACTCTTGTGACATTCATAGCATATCCATCGATATACCTTGGGAGTCTATTTGCAGCACGTTAGAGAACAAAGATCGACAAAATCCAGATATTATCTGGAGAAACTATAGTTAGCCGTTGATGCATAATTCACTCTCTCCTCTGATTTATTTTCAGCTGTATTCACTTTTAATGAAATGGGCAGCTATTCACCCTCGATTAATTGAGAGTGGCACATCCCCTTCAGATCGTGCACGGCCTATAAAAGGAAGGTTAGCCTTCTCTTGCTGTTGCTAGCTATAGCTGAGGAAGGTGATGTCACAGTCTGTATCGTCTGTGTCTTCTGCAAGTCAAGGGGTCGCTGCTCAGCTCTGAGTCGTCCCTTTCAGATCGTGTGAGGTAAACAGGAATCAGAGCGGCAGGGCCAGGACCATAGACGCGGAGGTCCTGAAAAGAAAATTTCACCCCAAAAATTTCCATTTTGTGAACAAAATTACTCTTGATGTCATGTGCATTTACAGGACTGTACGATTGGACACTGCCATGAGTGACTGACCCACAGCAGAAAACATTACATTATATCAATTAATTAAATTGCACTTTTAATCAGCAAAAGAAAAAAGCTGGCATTATTTCTTATTGTCAACAAGTGCCATTTAACCTCATGACAATAATTTGTTAGTACTTCCAGTGAAGGCCTGAAAACCAGCGTCTTCCAGTGAGCAATGAGTTCTAACATGGAGGCATGATTTTCTGCCAGAAATCCAACCGTTTTGACAATTTCACCTGAAATGTTTCATCGTCTTCACTTTTGTCTTACCTCTTATCACTTGAGAGAATAGGCTCAATTGGGAAAAGTGATATATGTCAAAGGATTTAGAAATATGTCTCAAAATGTGATAGATATGTTTTTTAAAAACCATATCCATTTTTTTTAATAGTAGTTCCAGATCAGGCTTTTACAACACCTTTTTTATAACATGGTTTAAGTGTGGGGTTTGATCTTTTTATAGGACTTGTCAGTAAAAAGACATCGCCAGCCTTTTCTTTTAAACTCAGCTGTGTCAAAGGTGATAATTGTCAGAGCATAAAACAAACCAATAACAGTTATTCACAACACATCACAGCCACAAGCTATGTAAAGGTGACATTGTGTGCCCTCTTAGAAATCTCATCTCGTCCGCTTGCTTATTTATCTTTCGCTCTCTCCACCCACACAAATTTTCCACAGCTAAATACAACTGTACCAAGTGTAGATTTTCTGATATATTTATATATATAAGTATATGAATTAGCTTGAGTAAGTAAGTGGGTATCAAATTATTCATAACAATGTACAGTCTTGAAATGCACTGAACATCATTATCATCACAGTATGTGTTCAGAGGTGAGATTTTATTTTAAGGTGACAGGAAGGTTGTTGCTTGACATGGGGCTTTCGCTGCTGTGTGATGCAAGTGGTCAGCTCTATGTGATGAACGCTTCCTGACCCCTCCTTTCACAGAAGAGGCCAAGCATCTTTACAAAGGCAGCACCTTTTACTTTCTCTCTTCCTGTGAGTTTCTGCTTTGAAAAGTACCACATCTTAAGTATGACTCCTCTCCTTCCCCTCAAATCATCACAGAATCATAAAAAACGGGCAGTTCAAGTTTACTGAAATCATACATATCTCCACCTATTATGTATATAAAAGGCTTTTTTCCTCTTCCCCCGGTGAAAATGTTCTCTTGCAAACCATGCCTCTGTGTACCTGACTTAGTTACCTACTGCGTGAGTACTTTTCCTTTCCTCCGTCATCTACGCGTCTTCTTTTGCTGATGTTGTATTAATTAGGACACAGCACAGCTCTTCAGTGGAGGTTTTACCTTCAGAAAGATGTTTTATATGCCATAACAAGATTTGTTTAAAAAAAGCAAAACGAAAAAAAGACTCAATGTTTGTATTATACTGAAGAAACAGTTGGGGTGCCGGCAAAGTGTTGTACACTTGGACAAGTGTAAAAAAAACACACACACACTGATGTTGAATAATCTTTAGACGCTAATGTTGTTTAAAGCCAGTTTTGAGTTAGTTTAATTTGTCAGTGTTTTTTAAGTGCTTGGAATTTAACACCATTTGAATAATTCTTTGTCGTTTTTTCTTTTCCACAGTATTTTACTATTGGAATCTTCTCACAGTTTGTTGACCAGAAGCATCATTATTTTTGTTTTTTTATTCCTATACTTTGACAAGGGTGTTGCAGAATTTCATGGTCTATGGTCAACAAATGGGTTGACACTTTAAAAGAATTTAAAGAATACAGATATTAGGAATCCAACTTTTGAGAAATAAACTTTTTTTTCTAACCAGAGTGTCCTGGAAGGAAGTCATCATGCTTTTGTAACCGAATAAAGGGGAAAAAACGATGTATTTGTTCAGTTTTAATACTGCAGCCTTGGGCAAATGGTATGTGATTTGAGATATCACAAGCAGAGGGGGATAAAGCACTGTCTTTGTCTGGAAGGAAAGCAGTGATCCAAAAAATGAGCTCAGACACCCTGTCTCATGTTAAAGAAAATAAAACAACAGTGCTACATGAGCTGCGAAAGAATTAAAGACAGCCAATTTGTGTCGACTTAATGGTCCTCGTCAGGGTCTTACAAATGAGTGAGTCAAGACAAGACTTAATTGAGCGCCACCTTCACGCTAATTTGCATATGTAGGCATACATGCCTTTATCAGACAGATAGCGTGCAGATTTAAACAGAAAATGTAGAAAGAGAGAGTGATGACATGAAAAGGTTCTTTCACTTGGTTCATATTGGGAACCATGGACTATAAAGATGGACAACATGACTCCTCCCAAAAAGTGAGGCCAAAGCATTTAGATCGCCACCTGGTGACAGACTGCAGTATGGGTCGTAAACCCCTCCTCCATGATTGCAGATGGGACATGGACTAAACCAAAAAGTACACGTTAAATAGGCCACTTTATTGGCAAAGATAGTTTCTGTCATTTTAGGTAGTTCTTATCACACTGATGTATGTTACATTTTTTGGCGGCGTTCTGAGATATTTTGACTTCATTTCTGGATAGAGGGAGGAAGTGGAGACACTTCATCATCTTTATGTACAGTCTGTGTTGGAGACATTGCAGTTTGTGTTAGAGGTCACCACCTCTTTTGGTATCAATACTGATCCCAGTGGTGATTTTGTATGTGACACATCCTTACATTGCATACGTACATTTTTTGCAGTGAACATGATAAATATACCAGTGAGAAACAGTAGCTAGTAGCAGTGATAACACTAAACGAGGGTCAACACAAAGGTACCTCGACAGTAGGGGTGTAATGGTAAGCTACACAAAAATGTATGTAGTTAGGTTTTGAAGTTTGGGTTCGGTATGTTTTCAGTTCAGTGAAAACACGAAATAACTGCATTTTTGCTTTTTAATTCAACACAAGCTCACTTAGCAGACTATGGCTGTCATTTTGAAGTCTGTGATACTGCCGCAACTGGCTGCTAATGAAAGTGTACTCAATGGTTAATTAAATAAATCCACCTTCAAATTAAAAAAATAAATAAATGAGGTGAGGCATTTAGAAAACTAGCTGTGCTTGAACCTTATTGTACTTCACAATAAAGCAGCTTTCAGGGCTCAATTAGGGGAATCAGTTATTGTCAGCGTGTTTAAAACCTGTGTTCTCGACGAGGTCACGTGTTCTAGAAGGACCTGTGGTTTTTGTTATCGCTTTGGGCTTTCAAATTGAATTCTGCACACATAAAACATTCCACACGTGCAGAGACTGCATTGGTACACATGAGTTACAAATACATTTTACACCCCTACTCAACAGCTCGACTGGGACATAAAAAATAAACTAATAACAAAGGTTAAAATCACAATAAACATGATTAATGTATTATATTGGTAATATTAACATGTATAAAAGTCTTACAAACTCTTATTATACCAGACACTGTGCTTCATTAATCCAAGATCAAAAATTACAGATATCGCTTCACTCCTGTCAAGCTTTGTCAATACAGGAATGGATCAGTACTCCGATTCATTTTCTTCTCTGAAAGTTTGAGGTATAACAACTTGACATGTATTTTCAAACTCCAAATGCATATCAAATACAGAGACCCTCGGCCTTGAAAACATGAGAGCTGCTCTACCTGAAAACCGGTGCTTATCCCCACAGTCTCAGAGTACAACCCTCCACAGCCTTCATAAAATCCAGAGCTCCGACCAGATCACTGCAGAAACAGCTAATTCTCAGTCATTTTCGATCAACTCCAGTGATGCCTGAGCAAAATGTGACAAGACTGAACCAAAATAGTCAGGCTCAAAATCAAAACAGTGAGCTGAAAGACACTACAATGTTTCCTACAACAGAGAGGAACCACAGAGCCGGGCGATAAGTGTCTGTGGGCTCATCATGATAAGAGACGTCTGTCACACTACATTTTTTTTGTCCGTCTCCATTGTTACTTGAAGATATTATGTACTGTAGCTTTAACTAACCAATCAAACAACTTTAGTAGGTCTGAGTGAGGCTAACCACAGTTTTCTCTCCTGTTTCTGTGGTCACACTTTATTTCCATCCTCATTTGTGACATGAAGTATCACTGCTACTACTTCAGATATATATATAATGACGTCTCTGCTCTGAACTCATCACTCCACACAACCAACCGGAAGCCCAGCATGGCAGGAAGTGGT